TAGAGTAAAACTTCAGAAAAGAGCTGTATATATTGTCTCCAAGTCCTCTCCTCCTGCTTCCCTCCTGAACTCACTCCAATCAGTTGTCACTTCCACCACTCTACCAAAACGCCTCTCTAATCAAAATCTCCAGTGATCTCCTTATTACCTTGTGCAATGGTGAATCCAAGACCTCGGCTCACCTGACATCCTAGTCACTCCTTGAAATACTTTCTTCACTTGACTTCCAGGACAAACTCTCAGGATTTCCTCTTTTTTTCTCTGGCTCTCTTCTGAGTCTCTTTTGTGGATTTCTCCTAATTGTTCCTACTTATAAGTTAAAGTACCTTAGGGCTCAATTCTTGGACCCATACTTTTCTAAATAGATCACTCCTTTGGAAATGTCATCTAGTCTCCCACCACCTATATGCTTAAGACCTCTAAATTTCATCTCCAGCCCCTATCTCTCCCCTGAATTCCAGCCCTATATACCTACCTCCTACTGTACATATTAATATAGGGACATCCATTAGGAATTCTCACACTTAAACATGTCCAAAACCAAGTTCCAAATATTCCCTTCCAAACTTGCTTCTCTCTCAGTTTTCCATGTCTTAATAAAAAACCCACAACTCCATTCCTCCAGTTACTCACCTTAAAAACTCTGGGAGTCACTCTTGAGTCTTTGCTTCTCTTGTCTGACACTGATACACACACACACACAGGTTAAACTTTCAAAATACATATAGAAACCAACACCGAACTCTCCCAATCATTCACTCCATGCCCCACCCCTCCCATTCACTTGACTCTAGCCACACGTCTCCTCCTTGCTCTTCTTCAAACATACGGAGGCCATGAGGCAGAAACAAGTCTAGACCATGCTGTTTCCCTCTGCTTAGAATGTCCTTCGTCCAGATAGCTGCATGGCATACACTGTTTCTTCAAGTTTCTATTCAAATCTCATCCACTCAACTGCTAGCTCTCTGTATCAAGCAACCATCATCTCTCGCCTGAATCTCACAATAACCTTACATGATCTTTATATTTCCTCCCTTGCCCCCCACAGCTATTCCCCAGACAGGAGCCAGAGTGATTTGTTTAAAAGTCAGATTATATCACTCTCCTGCTGAAAACCCTCCAGGGGCTTCCCATCACACTCAGAGGAGAAGCTCAAGTCTTTATAACGAATTACAAGGCTCTATGTGATCTGTACCTATTCCTCCACTGTTTCTTTGACCTCATTAGTTTCTATATTCTACTCTCTAACCACATTTACCTCCCTGCTATACTTCAAACATGCAGAGACCCTGGGGTGAAAACAAGTCTAACATATGCTATTCCTTTCTACTTGGAATGCCCTTCACCTAGATATCAGCACAGCTCACCCTTCCCCCTTCAAGTTTCTACTCGAATATCATCTTTTCAGTAAAAGCCTTCTCGGGTCACCCAAGTTAAAACTACAACATCACATAAACTTCCTAACAATCTTGGCTGCCTTATTTTTCTATTTAGTACTTATCACTAACCTACTACATATGTTACTTATCTTGTTTACTGTCTGTTCTTCCCTACAAGAATATAAGCTTCTTGAGGGTACTTTGTCTGTTTTGTTCACTAATAAATTGCCGGAGCCTAGGGGAGAGCCTAGTACATAAGAGGCACTAAGTAAATATTTATTGAATGAATGCATGAATGTTTAAAATAATGAACATGATTTTCAAAAAGATTCCTGGTGATTCTAGCATACAGCCAAAGTTAGGAACCACTGCTCTAAAGACTGCGATTCCTGGGCCTTCTTATCTGCCTCTTATTCCCCCCAGGTGACATTATCTATTCCTGTGGATATTTATACTGATAATACCCAAATTTATATCTCCTAACTAGACTGCTCCAGATTATTCAACTAGCCAATGGACTTTCCATTTGTAGGTCTCACCTTAAGGAATATATAAGTAACACCTAATTCAATTTCACCATACCCCATTCTCCTCATCTTCATAAGTGGAACCACCAATTGGCCAATTTCTCAAGGCAAGAAACATAGTCCCATCCTAAATTCTCTCTTTCCTCTTCATATCCTACATTCCATACATCAGAAAGTCTTATCAATTCTATCACCAAAATATAAGTTGAATGCATTTATTTCTCTACATCTCCACTACTACCATCTGTTGCTTATAGTTGTTCCCACTTATTGGTCTCCTTGTTCCTACTTTACCTTGATTCAACACATTTTCCATACAGCAGAAATACTGATTTTAAAATATAAATAAAACGGTCTTACTTAAAATGCTCCAATAGTTTCTTTTCACAAAATCCAACTTCTTGGCACTAACAGCAAGATCTACAGTCTACCTGTGTATTTTCTAATAAGGCAAATTTATATCAAAGAAAACAAAAAAAAAAGCTTTTGGTAATCTTTCCAAAAAAATACTTCTGAGAAAAACTACTATAGAAAAAGAATGCTTTAAAACCAACTTATTATATATACTTCTACTGGTAGACAGCATGGTACAGTTGAAAGGCTACTGAATTAGGAATTAGACCTGATTATGAATGAGTCTGGGCTGACTAAAGACAATTTACTAACCTTTTCTGGGCTTCAATTTTGTTATCTGCTAAAAATGAAAAAAAAAATGGACTAAAGTATGGCTCAATTCAAATTATATTATGGTGATTTAAAACATCTACATTTTTCCTCCAAATTCCTGGCAAAGTGAGAATAGGACACAAGACAGATTGAGAATATCAGAGCCATTATCACTGCTGCCTAATAAAAAAGGGAAGATGATATGGCATGTGGAAAGAAAAGGCTTGAGGGATGCCAGGCTGGCTCAGTCAGGCGGAGCATGCAATTTTTGATCTCCGGGTCATGAGTTTGAGCCCCACACTGGGTGTAGAGATTACTTAAATGAATAAATAAAACAAAAAAAAGAAAAGGCTTAAAATACTGAATTACTTAATCTGTAAGATCCCTTCCAGTTCAAATATTTTATGTCCAAGCAGGAAAAAACAGTCCATTACCATTTTCCCTACCGAAAGTGAAAACAGCAGGAGACTTCCAACTGGAAACCTCATTTAACCACATGCCTCAAGATTCCCAACGTTTTGCTTTAACCTGAGGAAAGATACAGTTTATTCTGGTATAATTTATTTTTCAGAAAAAAAAAAAAAGGTTCTTTTACAGTCAAAAGTACAGGGGTACCTGGAAGGCTCAGTCAGAGGACCATCCAACTCTTGATCTTAAGATTATGAGTTCAAGCCTCACACTGGGTATAGAGATTACTTACATGAATAAATAAAAACTTTATAATCAAAAGTACTATCACCAAAAAGATCGCATTGGGAGGGAAAAAAACAAGACAACATCGGAGAGGGAGACAAACCATCAGAGACTCTTATTAATCATAGGAAACAAACTGAGGGTTGCTGGAGGGGAGGCGGTCCGGGGGATGGGGTAACTGGTTGATGGGCATTAAGGAGGGCAAGAGCACTGGGTGTTATATAAGACTAATGAGTCACTGAACTCTACCTCTGAAACTAATATACTGTATGTTAATGAACTGAATTGAAATTAAAAAAAAAAAAACTCATCATTTGTCTTTATGTCTACAAATGCTACCAAATTGGGGCGCCTGGGTGACTTAGGGGGTTAAGCAGCTGACTCTCTGATTTTGGCTCAGGTCATGATCTCAGGGTCCTGGGATCAAGCCCCACAATGGCCCTGAGCTCAGCAAGGAGTCTGCTTCAGGATTCTCTCTCTCTCCCCCCTGCTCCCCCTCACTTGCTCACGCTCTCTCTAAAATAATCTTTTAAAAGGGGCAGGGGCACCTGGGTGGCTCAGTTGGTTAAGTATCTGCTCAGGTCCTGATCCCAGGATCCTGGGATGGAGCCCCTCACTGGGCTCCCTGCTCAGTGGGGAGTCTGCTTCTCCCTATCCCTCTGCCTCCTCCCCACCCCCCCACTTGGGCTCTTTCTCTCAAATAAATAAAATCTTTTAAAAAAGAAAAAAAAAAAGCTACCAAACTGGTTATGTTGCACTTTCCAACTATAATTTAGAGATTTTCTTCTTCCATGGGAAGGTAGTATTGACCATGGTGGTAAAAACATCCCCCATCTTTATTTATGAAGCTATAGATAAATCCAAAAGCAATTATCAGAATTTTAAAAATAAGTTCCACTACTATCCAAAGCTATCCTAAAATTATATAGAGGCTAGCTAACAAGATAGTTAAGAGTATTAAAACTGGGTACTGCCCTTAACCATGTGATCTTGGACAAGTCATTTATGCTTTCAATGGTTCAGTTTTCTTTTGTAAAATGGAGATTATCAACAAAAACTTAGAGACATGTACAGCAGTAAATATGCATTCTCTCAATAACTTATACCAACGTGGCCTTTATCATAAGAGCTAGATAACCCAGTACTCACTCTTTGGAAATAAGTCTAATTCTTTTAATGTAAAATTTTGTCAAGCATCTCTTTATGAAATAGTTATTCCTAGATAATAGTTATTCAATTCTCAAACACTGACAAAAATTTATTATCTGAAGTCATTTATTAAAAAAATGAAATTATGCATATTTAGAGACGGTCTGGAGGGATATAAACCAATGTCTATTAACTATAGTTATCTCTGGATGAAAGAAACAAAACTAAACTTTATTTCCTTCTTTTTGCTGATCTACAGTTCCTAATTTTTCTATTAATAAACACAAATTTTTTGTAATAGGGAGACAATAATTTTTGAATGAAATTAATTCCATAAGCAAATAAACCTTTTTTAAAATTCACATTTTGGAACTGGAAATGAAATACATCTGTACTTATATTGAATGATCTCATATTCCTATTGGAAAAGGAACAACCAAGAACATCAAACACACATCCTAATGTACTCTCCAATTCTGATTTCTCTTTTGAGCCCTATCTCTGCATATATCTTTCACTTCTTAAATCTTATCAAGACTTCATTGTAGACCCCTCTCACGCATTTCCAAAATTAGGAAAAAATTACCAATAAGACTTCTATAATCTCTTAACCTCGAATTTCTCTTCTCTTGTTCTTCGCTGACAGATTTCCACTGTAGTTTCATCCTGAAGTATTCGTCACTACAGAAAACAATTTTATACCAAAAAAAGCTATGAACACGGTATTTTTAAAAATTCTGATTGGGTTTTCCTATTAACAATGTATCAAAGCATTTATGATGCCAGTGAAATGTGAGGTTATAAATATGATAGTGAAATGTTTAAAGTTACGATTCATAAGTGAAAATAAAGGAAAAATTAAATAACCTTATACATACCATAAACTTTGCTTAAACAAGTAATGTAGGTATGATTTTAAGAAAACATTCACCTCAATCCTTAATATACCTAAAATTATTCTAGTTATTAAATATTTTAACTACTAAAGTTCTGAATAATTATAAATACAAAGCTACAAATTGCTGTTTGTTTTTTTTTAATGTGACATAAGACTTCCATTTTCTAGCCAGTTTTTTCACAAACTTGTTAATGTGAAACGTCTTAGAAGAACTGGCAATTGGGGCACCTGGATGGCTCAGTCAGTTAAGCGTCTGCCTTAGGCTCAGGTCATGTTCGGATCGAGCCCCGCATCGTGCTCCCTGCTCAGCGGGGAGTCTGCTTCTCCCTCTGCCTCTACCCTCTGGCTTGTGCTCTCTCTCTCGCTCACTCTCTTTCTCTCAAATAAATAAATAAAATAAAATAAAAAAGAACTGGCAAATGTGTTGAAAGAGAAAGGACTGTCTGAAAGTTTAAATATGCACATAATGATTCAGACTGAATTTAAATCATAGGCTAGACTGATGAACTGGGAATAAGAAGGGTACCTGGAAAACTCGTCTAAGTTTTCAAGTCTGAGAAATTACTTAAAAATAGAACCAGTCTTCCAAAAAAAAATGAAAGACTAGTTTATGTTATAAGAGCACCAGGAAAATAATTTAAAGGTAATTAACTTAAATAGTAAATATACTTCTTATGGGACATTTTTATAATTTCATAATTACAAAAACAAATAAATATGAAAGATATATTTAAAAATCCCTATCTAATTAGTTATTTTTCAAGTATGCAAAATGTTTTTACAAGGGAAGTGGAATTTTTTTTTCCATCTTTCTATATATATTCACCAACACAATTGCAGTGAGTGTTTGAAATGTCTAGTTTGAGTAAGTACAGAGCTCATGATTTTTCAATTAAAAAGATAAAAATAAAATTATTTTCCCATACTCTCATCTATTTAAAATAATCATCTAGAAGCTCTATACTAATCTGTATGGGTGAGTTATCTGAATTTCTTTAATGAACACACAAAAGATCTTACTTACGTTTTTTGTTTTTGTAATTGAGTTCTTTCCTCCTTGGTACTGTCCCAAGGAAAATAACCCAAAAGAAATTTCCATGCTTGCTTTCTCAACACATGACTAAGTCCCTAAAGAAAATATGCATATTAAACACATTTGTAAAAAAGAATGCAATACTTTAAGTTCATAAAACTTGCATATAGATACACAGGGAAACTAATATTTAAGAGATAGTTTTATACATAAAATAGCTCAATTCAGTGAATACTAACTTGTTTTTTTACCTCTAGACTCTGAAAATGCCAGAAAGCTTAAACAATGCAGAGTATACAGATTTATAGAAGGCAGCAGGACTGATTAGTCTTTCTAAGTCCAATCCTTCTTAGATAAGGCAACTACCACTGGGGTACATACATGCCTCCTTCACATTACCCACAGAACTTTAGGTAAGGAAGACTATTCTTCCCTAGGCTTAATGGTATTCAGTCCCCACCTCCCCAACCAACCTAATGGGACATCACAAGGATCTCACACTGTCCTACAGGGATTTTAAGGCATCATTCATCAAAAAGGAGTACATTCCATGACTACCTCCACACCTCCCATAAAAAAAGAAAATTTAAATATCAGCAGTTTCAAATATCCTCCATATTAAGGTATTTACCCCTCTAAATATCATCTGCTTCATATTATCTACATTTAAAATTCTTCCTTCAGAATCAATGTTCTTAGTCCATTCTTCCAGTGATACTGGCTCTCTCCTTTGAACGATAGGTCGTTCTCCCAAATCAATCTAAAAGAAGATAAGCAATAAGGAGTACACTTTTAACCAGTGAAATTAAATCAAGGTACATGGAAACCATAACTAAAATACTATTTATTACTCAGGCATGAGTTCTAACATTTCTAATATCTTCCCTTATTTTCTAATGTTTAGTTTATGAACTTTAACAGCATTCCATACATTTTCCTTCCTACTAAACATACAAATAACAGGGTTACAAATTCAGAGACAGGAATACATTTGCTATTTTGAGTTTCAATTACGTCAGTACAAAACATTCGACATGTAAATTACATAAAAGACCCTTCAAATTAAATGGTATGCTGTACTTAAAAAGACAGTATTACTCCACTAATCATATTCTAAAATTAGCTTTTCTTCCAAACTACAATTTGTAGCTCTCAGAATTGATTCATGATCCACTAGCTCCACTTGGTATTTTCTACAGTTTTTTATTCAATTAACAGATGTTGGTAATTTAAAATGCCATTTGTAAGATAAACCCTTTAAATATTACAATTCAGATATTTATAATGTTCTATGTACAGCCTAGAACTGCAGCAAATTCAAAAGTCTTGCTGAGCACATATAAAGATTTGCCATAATTCAGGGCCAAGATCCATCTTACTTAAAAAAGAAGACTCACATGAGCATAAAAGCCCTACAGTAGTGTCCTGACTAGCTGCCTCTGGTCCCTACTGAGAAAACATATAAATTAGGAACAGAACTAAGAACAATATGTAAGGTTCACTATTTACTCACTGCTGTGCACTCAATGAAACAAACAACCTGCTCATTATTATCAAAAAGTAATCAAAGAAAAGAGATCCAACTTATTAAACAGAAAGTATAAGTAGTAATCGATGAAGAACAACCCAAGAATTTCGTGGCAGAACAAGTATTAGTTGTTAGATATATTAGTTAGTAAAAAAGTTATAAGGATTATAAGAGGCAGATATAACCAAAATTGAGTTTCTATTTCCATAGCATTCAGTACATGTTTAAAAAGCATTTCTCCTGTTAAAATATAAAAGATATATTAATATAAATCTTCACTCACTCTTGTGATGACTTCAAATCCTGGTTCTTCTTGTTGATTTATCTTTAAACCTGGAATAGCATCACTAAGAAAATCTGCCATTTCTGAAGGCGGTCGTTGATGTGTAGAGGTATCACTGCCTCTCAAACTATCAAAAATGTAGTTTGTGACTTTGGAAAATCCTACCATGGTTGCTGTATAAGGATCCTTTTTAATTTTCTATGTAGTAAGAAGAAAAATATTAGCATTATTAATTCAAATGAAGAATAAAAATACCTTATGATGGGCAAAAGGGCCACGTTTTTTAAAGGGGGGAAATCAGAACTAAAACAGAGTGTTCTAAGATTATTTTAAAATTTTATTTTTTTTCTGGGCAGAAAAATTTATATTTTCTAAGCCAATCTTTTCATTTGGTTAAAACAGAATATTACACAGCAAGGTAATGCTACTGATTGAATTGCAGATAAACAAATGATTTGCAGGCTTTATTCAATCTGCATACATCACAAATATATGCAGTGCTTACTTTCCATTGATGAATGGCCCACAACAGCTTTCTTCTGTCTAGCAGTCCTGCCTTTATGAAAAAAATATTTCTTGAAGTGTTCAGAACCACACTAGTTTAACAGAAAATATTCGAAGGCTAAGCTTTAAAGCTCACAATATTTAAATATTAGCTGACATTTTAATCTATATGATTAATAAATCATGCCAATGAATGTAATTTGTTCTGGATGGTGCTACCCTGGAAAAAGGTTTTTCTATTGCTAGGGTTACTTCTAAATCCCCAACTGCCTACTTATTCATATTTAGCAAAAACAGTTACTTTTTAAAGGTCTTTTAATGATTATTTTCACAATAAAAACTGCTGCCTAATTTTTTACTTTAATCAGTATCTAGCTATCTTGTCCTGCTTCCTCAAAAGTTCCCCTTTTATCTTGTTATCTTCAGAACCAAGAAGAGGATACTTGGAACAGAGTAAGCACCCAAACATTTGTTGAGTGAATAAGTGAATCAATAAACAACCATTTCGTTACTTTACATAAACATTTGAGTGAAAAATAACTTAATTTCTGCCTGTGTTAAGTGCATATTTTTAGCCAAATATAAGAATATACTCAAATACTTTAGGGGGAATTAGATTATCACACCCCAAATGAACCTACTTAAAATGGAAAATAAAAATTCAAACCATATTTTTGACTAAGTTTATCATTAATAAATTCAAAGTGGCTTACCCAGTGACCTTGCAACTAATCAGTAAAAGCTATGATAAAAATCTACTAATGTCCAATTTCAGTATTACAATAAAGGGAAACATTGCTTTAAGAGTAACTAAGAACCAAGGAAGCTTCTGAGTCTTACAAATAATATAAAACACATTATTTCTAAAAAATTAGAGAATTACAGTCCCATAAACTTTACAGAGACACTTGCCTTATTCTGTATAATCTCTGAGAAAGTGAGAGAGAGGTAGGAGGTGTATGAAATAATGGTGTCAGATTAATAACAGATAAATACAAAATGGACTAAGAAACATACTTGTATTAAACCATACGCAGGTTCATCAAGAAGATTTTCAAAAGACTGTGAAAGACTCTTATTCTGACAATTCACAAGAAGTGTTCTTTTATCCTGTGGAGATCTGTAATAAAAGAAAGGATCCGTAGAAAATAACTAGCACACTGCATCAATTATTACCTGAACAATTACTAATGCCTACTTTTCCTTAACAACAATAACAATGAAAATCCCAAAACTCAAATGTCCAGTTCTAGAACTGTTTCCCCTTAATACAATATTAGCAAGTACTTAGTAACTATCTTAAAGGAGCTCCAAAACTACATGAAACATGAAATACTAAATTGACAAATATAAAAGGGTTGAAGAATATTTTTACTCTAGGTAAAGCCAAGAGGACTAAATTGTAATTAACCAAGTTTTTGTTTATAATTATAGTAGAAAAACCTTACAAATGTATCTGTCTTTATCATCATAAAAATTAAAGAAAGTTAAAGCACACTTTGGATTCATCAGTATATATAATATGTACAATACAGGAAAATGTCCTATTTTGAAAGAGTTTCCAACTTCATTCCATAGCTTGGTAGTATTGCAATATAAGATATTAAAAACACAAGATAAAATAGATTATTTGTTAAAGATCATAATTATGCTAACCATAATTATAAACACACATACATGAATATATTTAACAAGGTTATAATATACCATTAAGGTAACAGTATGTTTTTAGTTCTTGCTTATTAATCTCTAGAAGCAAGTTTTTCTGCACATTTCTTAATAACTGCAGAATAAATGCTTTCCAAATAGACATTTAATTTCAAGTAATCAGATAAATTATCCAGTCTTTTTTCTATTCAATAAGTTCTATAACTTAGTAAGTTCGCTATAATAAATCCACAACTTTTCTGTGTTTAAAATAAAACTTAAATGTGTTATGTTGTGGCTATCTACTTCTAGTTTATTATAAATGTTTGAGATAAGAACTTTAATAACAGTTATCTCTTCTCAATTCTAACATAACAGGATGCAACAGCAATGCTGGAGGGGATATGAACTCCAAAGCAGGATCTTATTTTTACACATTCAGAAACAACGCTTGATCTTCAGAGACAACAGTAACTTAATAAGCCCCTTGGCTTTTTAAAAGATGAGGTTGAGTCATTTGAGGTAAGAAAAACATTATGACTTTTAAAAACGTTCAATTTTCATTAAATGTCATTTTTCTGAACACTTACTGGGGTTATGCTTAATATGAAGACTTATATGGTCCCACAAGGCATTTTTAATAAGTCTTTTAAATATAGCACCAGAAAAAGTAACTAATATAGCAATATACACTGTCCTAGCACAGTAGAGCTGGCACTGTGGTTATTATTTGATTTCTAACAAATTAAGTCAAATTATTTATTTAAAATCCAAATAAAGGGGCGCCTGGGTGGCTCAGTCATTAAGCATCTGCCTTCGGGCTCAGGTCATGGTCCCAGGGTCCTGGGATCGAGCCCCGCATCGGGCTCCCTGCTCTGCGGGAAGCCTGCTTCTCCCTCTCCCACTCCCCCTGCTTGTGTTCCTGCTCTCGCTGTGTCTCTGTCAAATAAATAAATAAAATCTTAAAAAATAAATAAATAAAATCCAAATAAAAATTGGTCATCAAAGTCAAAACACTGGTTATGCATGTAGAAAGGGAATAAATTTGTAACCTTTAGCTATCTGAGCTCAGATAATTATTATGGCTCCAGATTTAAAACTGTAGTCAATAAACTAGCAATGGGAAGAAGAAATGACTGCCCAACCAGTAAGCAACCACGGATATTCTTTTAAGAAGAAAGGATTTAGGGGCGCCTGGGTGGCTCAGTTGATTAAGTGTCCGACTTCAGCTCAGGTCATGGTGCCAGGGTCCTGGGATCGAGCCCCGCATCGGGCTCCGTGCTTAGTGGGAGGCTGCTTGTCCTTCTCCCCCCTTTCCTTCTGTCCCTCCCCTGCTCATGCTCTCTCTCAAAAATAAAAAATATCTTTTCAAAAATAAAAATTTTTTTAAGGATTTCACTTTTTATATCCAATGCTCTGTGATGAGGAGCTGGGGAAAGCTCTAGGAGAAAGAGAGATATAAGAAATTTAAGACTTGGGGCACCTGGGTGGCTCAGTCGTTAAGTGTCTGCCTTCGGCTCAGGTCATGGTCCCAGGGTCCTGGGATCGAGTCCCGCATCGGGCTCCCTGCTCCGCGGGAAGCCTGCTTCTCCCTCTCCCACTCCCCCTGCTTGTGTTCCCTCTCTAGCTGTGTCTCTCTCTGTCAAATAAATAAATAAAATCTTAATAAATAAATAAATAAAATCTTTAAAAAATATTTGAGACTTAGTTGCCCTTAGCTAAGGAAATCAACAAAAACATTTTTAAAAGGTATATGAGTCAAAGGACAAGTTGTGTATTTCTAGGTAATTGCGGAGCTCATCAAAAGGAGGGTTGGAATTCCAGAATATTGTTACATTTCCACCTGCCAGGTTATCACAATGATTTAATTTGGAAAGATGAAATATTATGGATTTATATGTATATATTCTGGAAATAAAATGGATTTTGGAAGTTGATCTCTTATAACAACATTATTCAAGACTTTCAAAGCAGCAAGACAGAACTTTTAATGATGTAACATCAGCAATTCTATTAGAGCCTACTGAAGGGCTTAAAGAAAACTATTGTCTAATATCACAACTATACAAGTATATCTACTGAAAAATCAGAAGTATTTCCCAGGCTTTGGAGTAAGCCTCTCCCAAAACCTCAGAATAAATTCAGAAATGATAACAGTTGAAGAATGTTTTGTGTGCTGAGATGTAGTGGTAACTATTTTCCATTGCTACTGAGAAGGACCAATATGGAAAGCTAAAGAAATAAAAATATCACTGCAAAGGCTCTATCAAAAAAGGTTGATAAAATAAAAAAGTACAAAATATTCACAAAACTATATATATAATATATTCTTATTTTATACATATAACTCAAAGGGAATGAGGGTTTATAACCTAATCTTATAAATGGTGTTATATAATACGAAATATCTTACTGCTTATTTATATATTAATGTAAAAATGGCCCAATATACAAAATAATTTTAATGGAACCTTTCTATCACAACCTTCATTCATATCCTAGCAACCAACTTGGTTCCAGAAAGGTGACATAAATGCATTTGTGATTCATTCTTTACCCAAGTATCATGTTTTAAATGGTGATAAATCAAAGAACACTAACAAACATGAATGAAAAGGACAATTTGTTTTTCCCAGAAGATAATAAAACCATTTGAGAAATAACAAGTCTCAAGAAGCTAGCCTATTTTGCACTGCCTGATCCAGCTGGTGAGAATGAAAGACGGAACTGTGTGTGCACAGCTGGCCCAGCCTCATTCTGAGTCTTATAAGGCTGCACATCCCCAGGACATTCATGATTTCTGTTCATCTGTACGGTAAGGCCTTTAATTCGTTAGGGCAGTATTAGGAAGAGAAGATGGCCACAAACACAAGCCACATCATTCAATTTAAGTTAATCAGAAAAAAAAGAGAATGTGGTCTCTCTCTGTTGGTTCTGAATTGAAAAGAAGAAGGGTGACGCTGGCATAGACTGCCTGGCACCCCAGTGAGGCTGCAGAAACCATGGTTTTCTGGAACTATTCTTCTTCCTTCTAGTCTCTACAACAATCTCTGACCACAGGAACATGACTCTGGAAACATCATTTTGCTTAAGATAACTGCTCTGGGGACAGGAAATGAGATTGCCATGGCTGACATCTAGTAGACTGAAAAACCAAGAATATTTGGTAATTTTCATTTCTTTGGAGTTCAAATTGAGAATTCCATTTATTTAGATCATAACTAATGAAATAAGGAACAAGGATCTTTACTATCTCCCTAAGAATCTGAAAGAGATGGCTTATACAAATATGGCATTTCTTTAATGTCAGTGACAGTTTATTTGGAGTATCTATATTCTACCACTGAGGCTCAACATATAATCTCTAGTGAGCTCTATAGTGCAATATAACTGGGTATAATTTATGATGGTAAAGAGAACAGGAAGTGTTTATTTTCAGCTTAGGGTACAGAGGGGCCTTGGAGATAAAAAATCTGATGTATTATTCTTACATATTTCAGACCATCTAGGGGGCAAAGAGTAAATCAGCCCCCAATATCACAGAAGAACACACAGTGGAGAAGTGGCTGGTATTAGCAGTGGTTTTTGAAGGACTCACTTTAGGCTATCTCTCCCTACCACCACCTTCCCCGCCTCCCCCCCAAAATGGCCACATCCCTGGTTGACCATAAATTGAAAGATAAAGCCCAAAAGGAAGAGAGGAAAGTATAGGGAGGGAGGTCAGTCCCTCTGTTAGGTTCTTCTCTTTGACCAGGTCATTAAAGGTTGCAATTAATCACTGATGCTCATATCACGTCCCATTTTATCCTTCCCTTAATTTCATTCTCTCTCAGAGCTAAAATTACTGACACACAAAAAACTTAAAAAATATCCTATTATATGCTGTGACAGTGCTACACATCTCTTATCTGGAGTACTTATTACAGCTAAAATGCTACATTTATTTGTATAAATAATGTTTGTTTCTCCCACAATAGTACAAACTTCATGAAGGCAGGGCCCATATCTTTTCTGATTATTGCTTTTTCCAGCAAGTTAGCACAGAGTGTCTAGGACATAAGTGGCCCTCAAAAATAAACTTGTTGAATGAAAAATTAAAAAAATATATATATATATGGAGGAACACCATTCCCATGGCTTCGTGTTTTAAAATGGAAATTTGCACTTCTATTAAACTCTCCTTCACTAGGACGTATCTGATTACTGAGATCAGGAAAGAGTTAAGGTGCATGTTTGGCATAAATAACCCCTTCCAGGCTCGCTCTTTCTCTCTCTCTTTCTCTCTCTCGGATTTGCCTACCAACCCATAGAAGGGGCTTTCTAGTCTGCTTTCATTCACATTGTAAATAGTCTGTCCTCAATAGGAAGACCTGTGGTTGTTCGAAAATAATAACTGGGTGACTTCAAAACTACTTTGGGGTGAATTATGATGCTGCTCCACATCTAAGCCTCACTAATAATATTTTTACCATCATCTGATTCCTATATTTACTCCTTACTTTGTTACCTTTTCTGTATTTGTAAAGAGGTTTCATTTACAACCTCATTAAAACATCACCAACACACATTCAAGGTACACATACTCTTATAAGCACCTAAGTGATTGTTGAGTCTATCCTTGAACCCACCCAAGATAGAAAATTCTCTAACCCCTGAGCTACAACCCTTTTCCTCTAATTGCTCTTTGGAGCCATACAAAATAAATCTATGATATATTTCTTATAACAACTCTTTCAAAATTATTTGTAGAACTGGTTAATTACTATGCCATTTATTCATTCAACTGAAATTTATTGTACAAATACAGTGCCAGGCATTGTGGCTAGGAACTTAAGTGAAAATGTAAACAAAATAGATGCAATCTCTGCTTTTGTGTGCATATATTCTAGAGTAGAATATTAAAAAAGTAAAGAGATAACATTATTCTATTAAGAGTTGTGAAGGAAGCAAACAAGGGAATGAGACAATGAAAAAGAATGGGGGTGGGAACCTACATTACTTGGGAGAGGGGGCATCCAGAAAAGCCACTCTGAGGAAGTGACATTAAACTGAGACGTTAGGATCAGAAAGGGAGAAGAATATTCCAGGCAAAAGAAACGGCATACATATAGGACTCTAACTCAAGAGTCTGGGGCATTTCAGGAACTGAAAGAAAACTATACAGCTAGAATATAAAAGAAAATGGCATGAGGCAAGGCTTAAGAGATAAACAATTAATAAGGCAATGCAGGACTTCAATGACCATAGTAAGTTTGGATTTTATTTAATGTTGCACCAAAACTCCCCTTCAAGTTAAATCCCTATACCCTTCTAATGCTTTTCATGATACCACTCTGATCCCTCTCATTACACTGGTCATCTTTTCTATGTAGTATAGTCTAGCACATTTAAAATGCAATGTTTAACACCAACCCTAGTTCTCCAAAGTAAAGACCAGTAAAGGGTAGAGAGGAACTACCACTTCATCCTAAATACTATGCTTTAATCAGTGGTCTCAAATTGAATGAACTCTTTTCTGACAGTTACATCACAACACTGACAGATACAGAACTTGCTATGATACTAAAACCCCCAAGTCTTTAACACCTGCTATTCAACAGCCAAAACTTTTGCTCTAATCATGCCCCTCCTGAAATCTTCTTAAACGCCCTACCCCCACCCCCGGGAGGTAACCTATTCAAAGCTTCCACTTCAAGATCCAAGACCCACATACTGCCAATGAGGCCTGACTTTCTTATGGATATTGATACTGATTTATGCCTAGTGCCAGCCAGAGATGGTCAACATGGTAGGAAGGAGAATTTCATATCAGAAAACACAGCCAAAATTTTCCAACTTTTGGATCACTACTAGATTTATATAATCTAAATTCAGATATTATGTTACTCTATTATAAAGTGACATTATTAACAAGGTTAATACTCATCCCTACAGCTCCCCAAACTAAAAATCTCAACTTCTCCCTTCTTCTCACCTCCACATACCCACTCAATCACAAAATCAAACCCTAAATATTTTTCTCCAATACTCTCTCTTTCCTGTCACTCTCCTAATTCATGCCACTATAATCTCATCTACATGACTGGAACAAACAGCTAAAACAATTTACAAGATCCTCATGCTCTGGCATTTACTCAGCTCTCTGGCCTCATCTTTAAATTTGGTACCCTCTGTCCCCCAGTATGCAGACCTGTGATATTCAACTACTCTGTTCTGTGATTTCATCATGTTTTATATTCTTCCCTCTATCTAAAACATCTCTCCCTCAAATATGTCCTTCTCTTTCATGCTAATGTTCACTCATTTGTCAAATTTAACACACATACTACTTCCTCCAGAAAGTCTTCCCTGAACCCTAACCAACCCCTAGTCTGAATGAGGGACCCTTCTTCCCTTCCTGGGATCTCTCAAAGCACCTTGTACTTCATTTTAGTTCTTGAGTTTTATTGCCATTTACTGGTTGGCACCCTTCACAAGAACTCTCAGATACCCAGGAATAGCCTGTTGTGTTCACTACTTATCAAGCAACTAGCACAATGCTCAGAACTCTGATACCCAAAATATATTTGTAGGGAGTGAAAGCAAGGAAGAGTATGTGTGTTCAAATGCACATAGGTGAATAAATATAAGACACCAGATTTTTGGAACGTGAGAAAGCCCTGTCTTCCACACCTATAATAATTTTATAAAGGCCTTGGATTTGCTGGGTTTAAATATGCAACAGTACAAATAAAATTCTATCTTTAACAGACAATATGTAATTAAAGGTCAATTACATAAATATATAATCCATAAGTTACTGATGTATCATCATTCATTTAAATGTGTATAAAAAATACTGGACCACTCTTTTCTTTAGAACAGTAATAAGGTGGTAAGTTGCAGATCCAAAGTACTAAAATGGCAAAATTTTATTCAATCATTCATCCAAAGCAGTCAATATCCTAGAAAGAACAAAGTTGCTTGCACCCTCATCTGCACACAGGTCACTGATGCCCAATGACAAGTAAAAATTGCTTGCCTTGGGACCAATACAATAATCCAGTTTCAGTAAGTAGAAAATAATTTGATACTTACTCACACAATACCACATATTTTTCAAGAGAGTCAATCAGTAGTTTGCTATCTCCTTGATGAAAATGCAGAGCAGGGAGAACGACGTCATCCTTTAGACAGAATACCAAATACGACCAGCCCATACCCTCTTTGTTTTGCTTGATTGATTTCAGGTCTGTCAAACTGAACAGGAATGACCATTTGCTTTTCCCATTTCTATGACTTGGAGCATCTTAAAAACAAGAAAGTGGGGCAAAATATTTTTGTTCACCTTTTTAAAAGGTACTGATAGTGCTCTTCATGACTGCCTAATACTTGTTGAACCTAGGGAATGACTATAGCATTCATATTACTATGGTTTCTACCTATATTAGAAATGGCAACATGCATTTTCTTAAAAGAACAGTTTTGAAAATAATCATCTTACTGCATACAGAGTGAAAAAATATTACCCCAATTTCAAATAAAAGCTTGCCCAAAAATGACTATGGCTTTGGAAGCAGGCAGGCTGGATTCAAATTACAGCATCACCATCTTACTAAGTGAATGATCTAGGGCAAATAACTGAATCTCTCTGAGCCTTGGTTTCTTCATCTGTAAAAATGGAGATAATTATACTTACCTCCCAATGTTATTCTAAGAATTAAGAGATAATACTTGTCACCTAACTAGTATAGTGTCAATTATATAGCAAATACTCAAAAAATGTTAATCTTTTCCACTGCCCACTCCCCACCCCCGCCAAATACGGATGGCATGATGCTCTTGGAGAGTCATTAAAAATAAAACAAAAAACCTTTACTTCCTCACTTCCTTTTGCAATTATTTTTACTAGACTAAGGTAAGGTAAGTAACACTGGTATAAAAAATTAACACCGGAGTAAATATACCAACAGACATTTTATTTACAAAAACCCAGAGAGCAGTGAGGAGTTGCAGATGAAAATATAACAAAGTTGTGAGTGCTTCAAAGAGAATGAATACAGTGCTTGCTTCAGCAGCACATACACAAAATTGGAATGATACAGAGATTAGCCTGGCTCCTGCGCAAGGGTGACACGCGCATTTGTCAAGAGGTCTGTGTTTTTTTAAAAACAGAATGAATACATTCAATCTTCCTACTAAATCCATCTACTAAAGTAAGACCTCAGTTCAACCCAAACTACAGTAACATAAAATAAAGTATTTTCTGAGGTTGTGGGCTATTTATGGAAGCTTAAAAATCCTAGGCTTGTAAACAATATCATACCTGATAACAAGCAGCTTAAAAAATATATTAAAAAAATGTAAAGAACAAAGGGAAAAATGTTACTTTCCCACTACTACTTACAATTTCTATCCAAAAATGCCATTTTGACCTGTTTTAACTTGGGACATAAGCATGTCATGTCTCTGAAATTTTAAAAATCCATTTCTCTAATGTTATTTCCTAAGAAGTATTGCACTATTCTATTATTCAAGATCTCAGTTCCATTCCACGCTATCAACTCCACAAACATAAACTGCATAGAAGATATGTGCTTATAGAACTTGATCAAAGAAGAGATTAGTGTTGACCTGCATATATGTCACCTTCCTATATAGTCAGGAAACCATAGCTCCATCAGCTCCAACAAGATCTCCTAAATTGACACAAAGAAATCTACAGCTTACAGAACTTCTACCTACAAGGAATACAGGCACCATCACTATTTCATGGACACTTAAGTATCATTTGAAAGAAGTCCAGAAAGGCTAAAAAGTAATTTATCTCTACAGTGACCTGCCTAGGTTCCATACCAGTTCAGATGGTGAACTCATACCTAAGGCTGATCCTAGATTAAGCGCCACGTGCCAACTTGACTACCATACATCAAATTTCACTAGAATTTATATCATAGAGCTCATAACACCACTACAAGCTAATATCAAAATGAAAACAATTCTAGAATTTCAATGTCTTCCTGAATCATTTACATATTAATGTATTTAGGACTACTAGATCATTTGCAAAGACCAAAAATATTTTCAAAGCAACGAAAAACTAGATATAGACTATTTTTAAAATTAAATTCTTAAATTACATAGAAAGACAATTTAAATTAATGCATGAAAATCATATGGAGAATATAAATACATGAAAGCTATATGAATTTTCAGGAGTTTGTACACATTCAAAAGTAAAATTTTTACACAGATTTTCCCATGTTAATGGAAGAAACACATCACATATGGAATAGAAAATGCCTTACACATTTCCTCACTTGAAGCTCTGATAAACAATGAAAGAAACATTACAAGTCAATTCTGGAAGCCCCTTTACTTGAATATAGTAAGCTTCATGAGAACAAGAACTTTATTTTGTTCATAATTATATCCCCAATGTCTAGAAGAGTAAATAACACATAGTAGGTACTCAAAGTTGCATTGAATAAATTAATAATCTAATACCAAGTCAACATAAAAGAAATCTGCAATTTAGTCTACCACCGATAGCCAACCAGAAATAGAAAGGGTTACACAAAGGAAACCTAATGAATCCAAGAGTTAACTCAGAATTTCCTTTTCTCTCTTAAAGAAAGGTAAATAAAACTAACTAGTTCTGGGACGCCTGGGTGGCTCAGTCGGTTGAGTATCTGCCTTTGGCTCAGGTCATAATCCCAGGGTCCTGGGATCAAGCCCCACATCAGGCTCCCTGCTTAGTGGGGAGTCTGCTTCTCCCTCTCATTCTCCCTCTGTGCCCACACACTCTCTTGCTCTCTCTCTCTCTCAAATAAAAATCTTAAAAACAAAACAAAAACACATTAGTTTTGATGAATGATGTTACCAAACACACGTAAGACGTATCCCCAACACAATGACATGGGAAAACTAACCGTAATAGCGTAAGAGTAAAACTAAAACAGTTCAGTAAGTCCCTGTATGTCTTGAATAGAATTAACACCGAGGACATGACATTTTATTTGGATGGGTGTACAGAACATGATGGGAGTCTACTGTTCTGGTAAGAAACATTTTCAAAACATTTGATCTGCTATATAAAAACAAAGACTTCATAATAGAAACTCTTAAAAAGTATAAAGAAAGTTAAGTCTTTGATAGTCAATTTTTTAAGTTTTGTCCCAATTTCCTTTGTCACACAAAAAAGTAAGAAGTAGGGGCGCCTGGGTGGCTCAGTTGTTAAGCATCTGCCTTCGGCTCAGGTCATGATCCCAAGGGTGCTGGGATTGAGCCCCACATCGGGCTCCCTGCTCCGCGGGAAGCCTGCTTCTCCCTCTCCCACTCCCCCTGCTTGTGTTCCCTCTCTCACTCTCTGTCAAAAAAAAAAAAAAAAGTAAAAGGTATAAAATGTGAGAACTATAAAATGAATAAAACTAGAAAAAAATACTTTTTAAATATATAAAAATGTTTCATAATGGCATAAATTTGAGTTTTGAAACATCAAGCTTAGAAAGTGTCCCCCTTGGATAAAGAAGATGTGGTATATATACACAATGGAATATTATGCAGCCATAAAAAGGAATGAGATCTTGCCATTTGCAACGACGTCTGGAGACGACATCTGGAGGGTGTTATGCTGAGTGAAATAAGTCAATCAGAGAAAGACATGTATCATATGACCTCACTGATATGAGGAATTCTTAATCTCAGAAAACAAAGTGAGGGTTGCTGGAGTGGTGGGGGGTGGGAGGGATGGGGTGGCTGGGTGACAGATATTGGGGAGGGTATCTGCTATGGTGAGCACTGTGAATTGTGTAAGACTGTTGAATCACAGATCTGTACTTCTGAAACTGAAACAAATAATGCAACATATGTTAAGAAAAAAGAAAAAGAAGAAGATAGCAGGAGGGGAAGAATGAAGGGGAGTAAGTCGGAGGGGGAGACGAACCATGAGAGATGATGGACTCTGAAAAACAAACTGAGGGTTCTAGAGGGGAGGGGGGTGGGGGGATGGGTTAGCCTGGTGATGGGTATTAAAGAGGGCACATTCTGCATGGAGCACTGGATGTTATGCAAACAATGAATCATGGAACACTACATCAAAAACTAATGATGTAATGTATGGTGATTAACATAACAATAAAAAATTTAAAAAAAAGTGTCCCCTTTAGGAAGAATTTTTGATGAAATGTAATTGGATGAGACAGTCTGGGAGAAGAAGGGATGGGATGAGGTGGAATGGAATGCACTACACTTCATAACTCCTGTTCTGTCAAATATGTGCATGTGTATGCATACTAGGCCATACTATGTTCAATATTGTTTTCTACTGCTATACATTCATAAAATTTTTTAAATACAGAGAAAAAAAGAAAATGTCTTTTTTTTTTTTTTTAAAGATTTTATTTATTTGACAGAGAGAGAGACAGCAAGAGAGGGAACACAAGCAGCGGGACTGGGAGAGGGAGAAGCAGGCTTCCCGCTGAGCAGGAAGCCCGATGTAGGGCTCAAGCCCAGGACCCTGAGATCATGACCTGAGCCGAAGGCAGATGCTTAACGACTGAGCCACCCAGGCACCCCCAGAAAATGTCTCGTTAACTTTCAGTAATTGCTAAATAAAGACTCTATAAGTCACAGCGCATGGCCAAGTCATATAAGCAGTATTTACATCTGTGGTTTTTTGCTAAACTACACAGCTACACACAGGTCCTCAGTTCTGTACATTAAAATCAACAGGACAGCATTTAAAAAACACAAATACCCAGTTTCCATCCCCAGAGTCTGATTTAATTCATTGGGATGAAACACAGGCATTAGTATTTTTTAAAAAGCCTAACCTACCCAGGTCATTTCAATGTGCAGCCAAAGTTGAAAACCACTAATCTAAAAAGACGTTTATTGTCAGATTATGCTCTTCTCATACACGTAATGCTTCTTTCTTTTATGAAATTCTGAAAATTCATTCCTTTGTTCTTTCCTATAGCCTGTCACTTTCATTTTCAAGGATTCAGTGATATTAGGCAACAACAAACAAAAAACATATTCCAGCCAATTGTGGCCAGCTTTTCTGAATCTGGGAAATGAGGATAAATCATAAACTGAGACTAAAATGAGTAAGACATTAAATGTCTTTTTAGTTATAAAACACAAATTAATCAATAAGGAAAAAAATTTTAACTCTGTACAAGTATTTATTATTTTTAAAAGAATCACAAATAACACACCATTAGTATATGTGTTCTTTCAGGCTGTTAGCTTGGCTCTTTTTTGTTATCTACATGTAGATAATCATCACACAGAAACACAGATTTAAATATATACATGTAGTATATAAAGGAGAACAGTCACTGAATATATATTGTAATGAGCTGTGAAGATATCAGTAAGCACTGAAATTAGAAAAGTATGGTTTAGTGGTATACTCCATCTCCCCCTGGTGCTTTAGGACGAAACAACATTTTTTTTTTTAATGCTAGAAGAATGTGCATGAGAGACATCTAAAGCAATTTTTTAAAGTGTTTCTATTTTCTGCCATGAATAACTACAAAACAGAACACAAATTTTTAAAACTTTTTTTTTAAATAAAGTCACAACCAACAAAACAAAAAGAGAGACGAAGAGGGAATATAACTAAAATATGAGTTCTATGTATTAAAGCACCAAATCATCCTTGTGACAGAGAAACACTAAAGAATTTTATTTGCACTTTTATTTTTATTATATTGTAGCATATCAGTTTAAGATTTCAAAAGATTTAATTCATACCTCCATTGGTATGTGGCTTCTTTTTAGACGGAACTGTATTGACCATGTCCCACTCTGCTTCATAATTGTTCAGATGTTCCGATCCCCGATGACCTCTTTCCTTTGGGGCCTGCGTCCACTCTACAACTGAACTGGAGTCCTAAAAAAAGTGTAACATATGAAATATTTAGGGACTAAAACTAGAATTTAATTTCAATTAACAATATATTCTCAACTTCTACATAAATTAAGTTTGGAGATTGTGACAGACATCACTGGTAGGAAAACCAACCACTATTTCCTATCCTTTTCTTTCTTGTTTATCTTTACCTGCCACCCACCCCATCCCTGCCCCCACTTCTCCACCTACCCCCCTATGCTCCCCTCCACAAAAAAAAGAAAAAAAGAAAAGCCTGCCCAGATTCCCTTGCAGTTAGGGTTGCCAATGAAATAAAAGCAGAGGTCAACTGCAGGGCTTTTGGAAATGCTTTTGCTTTCCTAATAAAAAAGCCTCATCCCTTTCCCCTTTCTGCTGCTTTGAGTGTAGCTATGACGCCTAAAAATACGGCAGCCATGTTATGACTGTAAGAGAAAAAACAGGAGAATCACTCCAAACCTGTAGATTTGTAGTTATTTGAGGAAAATAACCAATGGTGGCTATTTTATTTAAGCCACCACTGGTTGCATATTTCTCAGTCAAAATTAGCTAAGAGCTACAAATAACATATCTACATGTATAATTCTAAAGAACTTACTATTTTAAAAGAGAATAAAACTAAATGTCCAAAATTCAATATTAATAATTTAAATCAAAATATTAAATTCCTATACTATAAAAAGTAGCACACCTAAGTTAAAGATAAGCAAGACTGGATGAAAGTGTTTTCAAAATATATGGCAGACAAAAGAAACATCCAGAATACAAAAACACCTACCAAATTATTTAGAAACTGGCAAATATCAAAACAGAAAAACAAGCAAATGGTATGCACAAGCAAGTCAAAGAAGAAATATGAAGCAACAAACATAGGAAGATGTCCAACTTCAGAAACAATCAAAGAAAAGTAAGTTAAGGGGCACCTGGGTGGCTTAGTTGGTTGTGTCTGACTCTTTGTTTCGGCTCAGATCAGGATCTCAGGATCCTGAGATCGAGCCCCACATTGGGCTCACACTCAGCATGGAGTCTGTCCAAGATTCTCTCTCTCCTCCCTTCTCCTTCCTCCTCTGCCACTCCCCTTGCACATGCATGCTCTCTTTCTCTCAAATAAAATCTTCAAAAAAAAAAAAAAGGGAGGCATGCCTGTGTGGCTCAGTTGGTTAAGCATCTGCCTTCGGCTCAGGAGGTGATCCCAGGGTCCCGGGACTGAGCCCTGCAACAGGCTCTCTGCTTGGCAGGGAGTCTGCTTCTCCTTTTCCCTCTGCCCCTTTCCCCCCGCTCATTCTCTCTCTCAAATAAATAAAATCTTAAAAAAAAAAAAAGAAGAAGAAGAAGAAGAAAAGGAAGTTAAGATGAATTTCAATTTTTTGACCCATTCAAGTAACAAATAAAATAGGAAAGACAGTGTAAAGACATAGTATCTCACGCTGCTGATGACAGTGCTAATTACTACTGACTCCAAAATGTCAATATAGCCATTATTTATTAAAATTCAAACTATGGGGGTGCTTGGGTGGCTCAGTTGGTTAAGTGTCTGCCTTTGGCTCAGGTCATGATCCCAGGGTCCTGGGATCAAGACCCGCATTGGGTTCCCTGCTCAGAAGGAAGCCTGCCTCTCCCTCTGCCTGCCACTCACCCTGCTTGAGCTATCTCTCTCTGTCAAATAAATAAATAAAATCTTAAAAAAAAAGATTCAAGCTATACATGTGTGTCATTACAATAATTCTCTTTATATTATCCACTCTAGAGAAATACTCACACATGTACACAAAGAGGCATATGTAACAATTTTCATTGCAACACTGTAAAAATGAAAATCTGAAAATATCTTAATACCCATCAGTGAAGGAATGAATAAACAAACTAGAAGGTAGCCAAGGAAATACTAAGCCATAGTTCAAAAACTGATATATGTTAATATTTATTTACTCTTAAATAATAGTAAATTAAACAAAGAAGCTGCAAAACAATGTTTGCAGTATAACCACAGGTAGCATATGCAATTACAAACAGAGGAAAAAACTAGGTCTAGATAGATCGATAATAAAATATGTACAGATTAAAGTCTGGAAAGATACACACTAAACAGGGACAGTTAAAGGACAAGATTCTAGTCAAGCAAGACTTCAATTTCTATTGTTTCTATTATTTGAATATTTTTACAAGAATGTACTCATATATTGCTACTGTAATTCTTTTTAAAAATGGAAAAAGGAAAATTTGTAGGAACAGAAACATATTATAAAGGCACAAGAAAAATTAAGAAATAGAAATAGACTGAAAAATAGAGAGGAAAACTGAATGAATGAAATTAATGTGGAGAGCTAAGCAGCATCTACAGAGCCCCACCAGCACAAAGGCTTGGAATTGGTTGATCAAATACTTCTGGAAATTAGAACAGAGGTCAAGCTAAAAAGAAGAGTACTAACAAAAGTCCAGAAGGCTGGAGGGTTATTCATTAGAAAAAATAAAACAGATTATTTCTGGATTAGGAGAAACCAAGCACAGTGAACAAAGGGATAACACACTGAAAACAAGAATTAATTAAAAGTTCATCTACAGGGGCGCCTGGGTGGCTCAGTCGGTTAAGCATCTGCCTTTGGCTCGGGTCATGATCTCAAGGTCCTGGGACTAAGTCCCACATTGGGCTCCATGCTCAGCGGGGAGCCTGCTTCTCCCTCTGCCTGCAGCTCCCCCTGCTTGTGCTCTCTCTCTCTGACAAATAAATACATAAAATCTTTTAAAAAATAAATAGATGATAGAAAGATAGACATAGATATTTTGAGAAGAAATGTAGAGAACTGAGTCTGAGTTTCAGGGTGAATTAGAGATAAAAAAGAAATCTCTACCTTCCATAGTGAGTCAACACACAATACAAATGGCAAATACATAGTTATCATCCCAATCATCATCCACAATCCCACTCTTGGGTTTTTAAGAGAAAAATATATATCCACACAGAAACTTGTGTATGAATGTTCATGTCAGCATTATTTATATTAACCTAAAAATGAAAACAACCCAAATGTCCACCAACTGATGAATAAACAAAATGTGGTACAGTAGTTCCCCCACCCCTGACTCCATATCCATGGTTTTTCTCTTCCACAGTGTGTTACCCAAAGTCTGTTACCCACAGTCAACAATGGTCCATCCAGAAGCAGATGATCCATCTTCTGACAGTACTTACATACAGTTAGTAGCCTAACATTACTTCACAATGCCTACGTCATTCAACTGCCTAATTTATAAATTAAACTTTATCGTAAGTACGTATAGGAAAAAACTTGGTATGTATAGGATTCAACAGTATCTGTGGTTTCAGGCATCCACTGGGGGTTGGTCTTAGAATGCATCCCCCATGCACAGGGAGAGACTACTGTATTTCCATAAATGCAATGTTGTTCAGCAGGCAGGCAAGAAGAAAGGCAAGAAAGAAAGCAAGAGAGAGAGAGAGAAAAAGAAAGGAAAGAAAGAAAAAGAAAAGAAAAAGGAGAAAGAAAGAAAAAGGACAAACGAACTGAGAGGTGTTATAACATAGATAAACCCTGGAAACAAGAGGCTAAGAGAAAGAAGCCAGTCATGAAAGATCACATATTGTATGATTCCATTTAGATGAAATGTCCACAAGGCAAATTCTCAGAGATGAAAAGTAAATTAGTGGTTGCAAGAAGCTGAAGTTAAGTGGGAATGAGGGGTGTACTACGAAGAGGTAGTTTCTTTTTTAGGAGTAATGAAAATGTTCTAAAATTAGATATTGGTGATGGTTACACAACTCAATATACTAACACCACTGAATTTATACACTTTAAAAGAGTAAATTTTATGGCATATGAATTATAGCTCAAAGATGTTGCTTTAAAAATGCCATTCCTTACACTGGAATGAATAAATGAATACAAGAATGATGAATGAACAACAAAAACAAAAAAATAAAAATGGCATTCCTTTAACCACACCCTTTCTTTCTTAAGTACCTTTCCAGCATAGAGAATACTAGAAGAATCTAAAGCATCATCCAATGGTCTCCAGTCCACTATTACTTCAGCATCCTAGAGAAAGAAATTATGGACTATATTTACTAGTCAGCAATATCTTACATTCTTAGTTACCTATTTTTAATTCCCTGAATGCAAAATGAAATTTTTAAACCCTTAAATATTAGCATTTTAAATATGCAGTATCACAAGTAAACCACCATTTGACAATAAATGTTACGTACATTTTTAAATTCTGCTTATTTTTCATGACAAAAAATTTGTAATACTGAAACTTTTACATAAGTTTTTAATATTCCATGCCATTTTATGGGCTTATCTAAAGTATTTTTTTCCTGGGGTGCCTGGCTGGCTCAGTCACTGGAGTATGGGACTCTTGATATCAAGCTTGTGAGTTTGAGACCCATACTGAGTGTAGAGATTACATATTTTTCAACATCATTTTCATGTTAAATTTATAACCACTGTTCAATTACATAATTTCACCTTACACATGAAATTCAAACTTACTGATAATGCCCCAAAGATAAACCACTGCCATAAACAATTATTAAATAAAATCATTTACTAAAATCATACCTTTTCTAACACACGTAATATTCCTGAAATCAAGCTGTCTTGGTCATTGGTCTTTCCACAAGATGAGTGAATATAGACCCCTTCCTGTTCATATATAATCTGGAACAACAAAAAAAGAATCACAGCATTATTATTCAGTTAGATTTCAACATTTGTTAAAAAAATTATGTATTTTCATATAATGCCTGAACCACATTTCTGATTATTTCATATATAAACGTATTATTTTAAAAATACCATTTAGGCTTAAGAGCACTTCAAATTAAGATAAACTGGAAGGTAGTTTGCTGTATGGAAGTTTGCTGGTTTAGTGATAATCACAATCTTGATCTTCTCCATAAACAAAGACGTCACACTAATTGCTAATGTGTCTCAAGTGAATTCCACTTAAAATACATTTTTAACAAACGTTAAGCAAAATACTGGATTCAAACTGAAAAAGGCCACGAAAACATTCAATAAGAACAGATGAAATACAATAAGGAATCAATGCTAACTATTCCTAGAACAGCACGTTTTACTGTAAGATCATTTCAGTGTTTTTGTAGCACAGCGGCACAGAAATTCAGGGAATAATATGGGAATTTTAAGGAGTAATGATAAGGACTTCTAGGAACGATTAAAGTAGTTCATGCACACAAATATTTACTGAGTGTTTCTATCTGTAAAAGCATGCAAAAGACTATAGTTAAATAGATATGATTAAGACATTGTCCTGAAAAATATCCTGTGGGAATATAAGGGAGACTGAATCTAATTCCTGAGTAAACTGAACCACGTAAAGTCTTATCTTCTATTAGCATAATGTTATAAATTTAAGATTCCATTCCTGGGGCCCATTTCAAACAATTAAATTTTTTTTTCATTATGAAAATAAGAGAAATAAAATAATCACTTTGAGACCTAAGTACTTTTCACATACAGAAGTTTGAAATAGAGTGTAAGTTTCTATTTATGTAGACCTCTTTTTTTTTTTTTAACTCCAGGATAATTAACAGTTAATTCAACAATTAACATAGTGATTCAACAATTCTATACATTACTCAGTGCTCATCATAAGTGTACTTTTTTCTTTTTTAATTTAAATTCAATTAATTAACATGTGATCTATTATTTGTTTCAGGGGTACAGGTCTGTGATTCATCAGTCGTATATAATACCCAGTGCTCATTACAACACATACCCTCTTTTAACCGTCTTCCCCTCTTTCACCCACCCCTCACCCACTGGTTCTCTGGTACTCATCAGTTTGTTCTCTATATTTAAGAGCCTTGTTTTTTTGTCTGTCTCTTTTTCTTTGTTCATTTGTTTTGTTTCTTAAATTCCACATATAAGTGAAATCATATGGTGTCTTTCTCTGACTGGCTTATTTCACTTAGCATTACACCCTCTAGATCCATCCATGTTGTTGCAAATGCCAAAACTTCATCTTTTTATAGCTCAGTAATATTGCATTGTGTGTGTGGGAGGGTGTATATCACATTTTTTTTTAAGATTTATTTATTTATTTATTTGACAGAGAGAGACAGAGCGAGAGCATAAGCAGGGGGAGCAGCAGAGGGAGAGGGAGAAGTAGGCTCTCTGCTGAGCAGGGAGCCCAATGTGTGGCTCAATCCCAGGACCCTGGGATCATGATCTGAGCCAAAGGCAGACGCTTAACCGCTGAGCCACCCAGGCGCCCCCACATCATCTTTATCCATTCATCTATCAATGGATACTTGGGATGCTTCCATATTTTAGCTATTGTAAATAATGCTGCTATAAACATGGGGATGCATGTATCCCTTTGAATTAGTGTTTTCATATTCTTTGGGCAAATACCCAGTAGTGGAATTACTGGATCTTACGGTAATTCTATTAATGTTTTGAGGAATCTCCATACTGTTTTCTACAGTGGCTGCACTAGTTTGCATTCCCACCAACAGTGCACAAGGGATCCTTTTTCTCCACATCCTCGCCAACACTTGTTGTTTCTTGTGTTGTTGATTTTAGCCATTCTGACAGGCGTGAGATGCTATCTCATTGTGATTTTGATTTACATTTCCCTGATACGTGATGATGAGCATCTTTTCATGTGTCTCCTGGCCATCTGTATGTCTTCTAGAGAAATGTCTATTTGTGTCTTCTGCCCCTTTAACTGGATTATTTGGTTTCTTTGGTGTTGAGCTGCATAAGTTCTTTATATATTTTGGATACTAAGCCTTTATCAGATATGTCATTTGCACATATCTTCTCCCATTCCATAGGCTGCCTTTAAGTTTTACTAATTGTTTCCTTTGCTGTGCAGGTAGCCCCAACAGTTTATTTTTGCTTTTGTTTTCCTTGCCTGAGGAGACATGTCTAGAAAAATGTTTTTACAAATGATGTCTAAGAAATTACTACGTTTTCTTCTAGGATTTATATGGTTTTAGGTCTCATATTTAGATCTTTAATCCATTTTGGTTTTATTTTTGTGTAGATTTTAAGAAAATGTGTCCAGTTTCATTCTTTTACATGTTGCTGTTCAGTTTTCCCAACACCACTTGTTGAAGACACTTTTTTCCAATGCATATTCTTGCCTCCTCTGGTGAAGCTTAATTGACATGGGTTTATTGCTGGGCTTTCTGTTCTGTTCCACCCAACTGTGTGTCTATTTCTGTACTAGTACCATACTGTTTTGATTACAACAGCTTTGCAGTATATCTTGAAATCTGAGACTGTGCTATCTCCAATTTTGTTCTTTTTCAAGACTGCTTTGGCTATTCGGGGTCTTCTGCGGTTCCATACAAATTTTAGGATTATTTACTTTAGTTTTATGAAAAATGCTGTTGGTATTTTGACAGGGATTGCATTAAATCCGCAGACTGCTTTGAGTAGTACGGACATTTTATATTTACCATCTCACTATTCAGAATATCATGGGGACCAACATGCAAGAGAAGCACCTTCACAACCCATCACCATCACACCCTAGTTATGAATGTAAATGGGTATGCATCTTCCTGTTTTTAACTAACATTTATGGAATACTTATGCACCAGGAACTCCACATGCTATAGCTTAATCCCCCTAACCCTAGACCACAGGCTCTATAACTGTATCCTACTACATCATTAGAATGGAAAGTCCATTTGTGTTAATGAGAAAACTGAAAGAGAGATTAAATAACTTGCCTAAGATCATTGATGCAAATAGTAAGGGATGGTTAAGAAGCAGTGTGGAGATTAAAATCCAGGGAGTCTGATACCAGAGAACTGTGCTCTTGGCTACTATGTTATAAAGTACATTACTTGTACTGTTATTCCCGTGTTACGTTATCACTAGTGATATGAAGTTATATGTCAGGAAAAGAGTCCTTCTAGTAATCAAGATCACCAGAGAAATTCTGATCTCAAAAACCCAAGATGGCCTTCATTGAAATAGTCGTTAAGCACCAGACCAGCATTAAGCAGAAGGCAAAGACTCGGGACAGCACAAGTTGGGGAGCAGTAGAAGACAATTCTATATTGTTTGCATAAAGATAAAAACTTTTAGAGTACACAGATTTATTCACACATGTGCATAAAGATATGCTTAAGACTATTCACAGCACTGTTATTTATAACATCAGGTCGGGTAAGGGAGGAAGGAAAAAAGGAAAGGGAAGTTATGAATCTAGATATCCACACAGGGGAAATGATCAAATACCTCCTGGGATAGTCATTCTATGGGGAATACTATTCAGGAATTAAGAAAGGATGTGATAGATTAAATGAACAAACAAACATGGAAAAAACTGCCAATTATATATAGTATGATGACATTTATATATATATTTTTTAAAGCTTCTATAAATTGCTGTAAAATACCCAAACAAGTTCTGGAAGGACACACTTTAAGCTGTTAACAGAGGTTACTTGTGAAAGAGAATGGGATATGGAAAGGCTGAAAGAAAACTGTAACTGTCTATGTTGATGCCTCTAACGTACTCGAATATTTCAAAGCTAAAATAGTTACACATTGCTTAGTAATAAAAAATAATTTTAATAAGTAAAAAAGGAAACTGCAGAAGTATAAACTATAACCTTTCCAGACTTCAATTTATCAATTTTCAAAACAAGAGGTTAAACTAGATAATTATATCTGGGGCCACAATACAAAGTACTGAAAGGTTAAGGGAAAGAAATCCGTTAAAATCTCAAGCTTTAGTGAGAGAGAGATCAGAGACATGTCTGGAAACTACATGTTAGCATACTTTCACCTAAGTCTCAGCTAAAACAATAATCAAGAGCTTCATAGTTCTCCCATCACCTGGGTAGCTCAGTTGGTTAAGTCTCCGATTCTTGGTTTCAGCTCAGATCATGATCTCATGGATCAAGGATGAAGCCCCACATCAGGCTCCCTGCTCTGTAGGGAGTCTGCTTGAAATTCTCTCCCTCTGCCCCTCCCCCCAATAGAAAAAAAAGAGCCTCATAGTTCTTATAGTAGAAAAAAGGACACTCATTTGCCCAGGAAAGTTTCGTATCATTAACAATGCAATCTAAAATTCTGTAATACTATTAACACTAAACAGACTCTGGAACCTTAATAAAGTAAATGAATCCTAAAGAACCAAATAAAACACTTTACCTAACTGAAGCACATAAGAGTTCCTTAGTCTTTCTTACCCATGCATATATTGGTCAAATGTTGCCTATTCTCTTTTTCATTTAAGAAAAAGTTGGGTTTCCTAAGTAATTTCACTGAGAAAATATTTAAAAAGCATTAAAGTACCAGGCACCTTACAAAAAAATCCAAGCTGCATTCATTCTGGGTTCTGTCCTGAACTCTTTAGCACTTTTTGAGGAACAAATTACACGTCCAAAAATCCACAACTCCAAACCCAGACTTGTACTGTCTTTAGAAAGCAGTCATGTTCAGCTTTCTAATTTGAAAGGTGTGATGTTAACCAATACAAATTACTAATCCTGCCAGAAATAGAATGAAATTAATAAACTTACCTTCCATGAGCTCCTAAACCTTATGAAGTCTTATGAGACTTAAAGGGACTAAACTAGTTGCATCAGTACATAATTTACTTCAAACAGTAAACAACTAAATAAGTTTTAACTATTTATTGTTTTCAAAGCACTCCGATCTTA